TAGGTGTTGGTATGACATCATGCGGTGCAGGGTATTGATACTACATGTATGTACACCTCAAAATAGCATGTTCACGAAGGAAATTATGTCTGCGGATTGTCATTTCTAGTAGATAACGTGAGGTTTATCTGCTTCATAAAAAATATAATAGAAATAAATACCAGGTTCACTTCCAACATTAGGTACATGGAATTCTCACCTTTCCTTATCTGGCTTCAAATGTAAGTAACAGTGTAAGTAATCAAATCTTTCATCAGTTTAATTTTTTCATGTTAGGATGCAATAACAAAGTGTAACCACTGACAGTAATGGTTGGATGTGATAACAAAGTGTAACCACTGACAACCATGGTCTGATGTGATAACAAAGTGTAACCACTGACAGTAATGGTTGGATGTGATGACAAAGTGTAACCACTGACAACCATAGTCTGATGTGATAACAAAGTGTAACCACTGACAGCTATGGTCTGATGTGATGACAAAGCGTAACCACTGACAGCCATGGTCTGAGGTGATGACAAAGTGTAACCACTGACAGTCATGGTCAGATGTGATGACAAAGTGTAACCACTGACAGCCATGGTCTGATGTGATGACAAAGTGTAACCAATGACAGCCATTGTCTGATGTGATGACAAAGTGTAACCACTGACAGCCATGGTCTGATGTGAGGACAAAGTGTAACCACAGACATTTATGGTCTGATGTGATGACAAAGTGTAACCACTGACAGTCATGATCTGTTGTGATGACAAAGTGTAACCACTGACAGTCATGGTCGGATGTGAGGACAAAGTGTAACCACTGACAGCCATGATCTGATGTGATAACAAAGTGTAACCACTGACAGCCATGATCTGATGTGATAACAAAGTGTAACCACTGACAGCCATGGTCTGAGGTGATGACAAAGTGTAACCACTGGCAGTCATGGTCTGATGTGATGACAAAGTGTAATCACTGACAGCCATGGTCTGATGTGATGAAAAAGTGTAACCACTGACAGTCATGGTCGGATGTGAGGACAAAGTGTAACCACTGACAGCCATGATCTGATGTGATAACAAAGTGTAACCACTGACAGCCATGGTCTGATGTGAGGACAAAGTGTAACCACTGACAGCCATGATCTGATGTGATAACAAAGTGTAACCACTGACAGCCATGATCTGATGTGATAACAAAGTGTAACCACTGACAGGCATGATCTGATGTGATGACAAAGTGTAACCACTGACAGTCATACTGACAGCCATGGTCTGAGGTGATGACAAAGTGTAACCACTGGCAGTCATGGTCTGATGTGATGACAAAGTGTAATCACTGACAGCCATGGTCTGATGTGATGAAAAAGTGTAACCACTGACAGTCATGGTCGGATGTGAGGACAAAGTGTAACCACTGACAGCCATGATCTGATGTGATAACAAAGTGTAACCACTGACAGCCATGATCTGATGTGATAACAAAGTGTAACCACTGACAGGCATGATCTGATGTGATGACAAAGTGTAACCACTGACAGTCATACTGACAGCCATGGTCTGAGGTGATGACAAAGTGTAACCACTGGCAGTCATGGTCTGATGTGATGACAAAGTGTAATCACTGACAGCCATGGTCTGATGTGATGAAAAAGTGTAACCACTGACAGTTGTGATGACAAAGTGTAACCACTGACAGTTATGGTCGAATGTGAGGACAAAATGTAACCACTAACAGCCATGGTCTGATGTGAGGAAAAAGTGTAACCACTGACAGCCATGGCCTGATGTGAGGACAAAGTGTAACCACTGACAGCCATGGTCTGTTGTGATGACAAAGTGTAACCACTAACAGCCATGGTCTGATGTGATGACAAAGTGTAACCACTGACAGCCATGGCTTGATGTGAGGAAAAAGTGTAACCACAGACATTTATGGTCTGATGTGATGACAAAGTGTAACCACTGACAGTCATGATCTGTTGTGATGACAAAGTGTAACCACTGACAGTCATGGTCTGATGTGAGGAAAAAGTGTACCCACTGACAGCCATGGTCTTATGTGAGGACAAAGTGTAACCACTGACAGTCATGGTCTGATGTGAGGACAAAGTGTAACCACCGACAGTCATGGTCTGATGTGAGGACAAAGTGTAACCACTGAGTTATGGTCTGATGTGATGACAAAATGTAACCACTGACAGTAATGGTTGGATGTGATGACAAAGTGTAACCACTGACAGCCATGGTCTGATGTGAAGACAAAGTGTAATCACTGACAGCCATGGTCTGATGTGATGAAAAAGTGTAACCACTGACAGTCATAGTCGGATGTGATGACAAAGTGTAACCACTGACAGTCATGGTCGGATGTGAGGACAAAGTGTAACCACTGACAGTCATGGTCTGATGTGA